GGAAAAAAAACAAATTAGAAAGAAATAAAAGAAAAAAAAAAACCAAAAGAAAAAGCAAAACAAATTAAAAAAAAAATATAGAAGACAATTTTAGGGCTTGTTATAAAAAAGAAGTTCTTTTTATTATAGACTTTAAGTAGTTAGACAAGTAACTTCTGTTTGAAATAATATAACAGATTGTACTTAAGTACTATTAAGATAGCCAAGTAATGCTAGACTTAGTTGTTAAGAATATTTATGTAATTGTAAATATAATTTCAAAATTTTAATAAAGTACTAGCATGACTGCTTAAGGAAAAAAAATTTTATTTATAATCTAAATCTACTAAAGTTCTATATTATATTTTGCTTACATCTAATTAAAATTTTTGCTTTATATCTAATTATATTATATAATTTACATATTCTTCTTATATCTTACAACTTATTTTAATAACTTTCAAATTAGTTTACTAAATTGTTTATTTGTTTTTTTTGAGTTGCTAATTTTTGATGTATTTAAAGAGTGCCTTATTAGTATGTATCTTAAATTAGAAGTTTGCTACTATTGCTAACTTTCTAATTCAAATACTAATAGTATATATCTTAAGTTAGATTCTTGTTGTTATTGCTATTTTGCAACTTCTTTTGATCTTAGTATTTTTTTAATAAATTATATATTTAATCTGCTTCTTAAGTACTTTTTTTTATAATATATATAAAACTATATTTAAAGAAATTTCTTTTAGCTATTGGTCATTATAGTATTTCTATTATTTTTAATTTAGATGATTTAAATTTAATTTGTATAGCATTTATATTAATGTGTTTTTTTTGTTTCATTATAGATTTTTATATAGTTATAATTAAAGCTTTGGCTTGGTATTTTTAGATATACAGAACAAATTACATTCTTTATATATATCTATTTTTAAATATTTCACAATGTCAGGATGAAGTCTTGTAGCCTAGTGGTCTAGGTGCTCCTTTCTTTACAAACAAGATCAATGGTTCAATTCTAGCTGAAGGCAAAACTTTGTAATCTACAGAAGCATATGAATATACATGAAGCCCTATAACTAAGTCCATGTGATTAGAAGATTAATGTATAAAGAAGTTCCCAAAAAGAAGTTTCTCGATATGGTAAGTTGGTGCTCAATGTTAGAGAAGCAGTGAACATACCAGAAATAGAGAGAAGGCGCACTAGCAAGTAATATGATAAACATAAAAGGAAACTATGAAAAAGGAATAGACTTACTAAAATTTGAATACTTCTGACACTAAACTGGTTCTAGTAGATATAGAATCTACTAAAATTGGATAAATCTAAGAGGTAAACTTGGTACTAACTTAGTAAGTCTGTGTCAAGAGTAAATTTGAGGGACTATGGATATCTGGTAACATCCAATAAGGTGGTACCTTGATATAAATAGTAATTAAATAGCCCTAACCTAGTATGTCTATATGGTAATAAAAGCATTGCATATATGCAATAGAATTGAAATCAGAAAGTTTAAATAAAGGATTCACAGACAGATCTCAGGTATGATAGCTAGTGGATAACCCTTGAATGGAACCCTTAATTAGATAATGACTAAAGTTATATGTGTGACTAGTTGTACTTTTATTGATAAACTTTATATATAATTGTAATAATGATATATTATCCAATAAAGACAGACAGGCAAGATTGTCACTTTAATAAAAAAAAATATATATATTTCACAATGTCAAAGATGCTTTTAATCTAAGAATGACTAATATTTTATTATATATCTTCTTTGCATTCATTATTTTTTTTATTACTCTAGTTTATGTTACTTTTTGATATTATTTTTTAATCAAATAATTTGTAATTCAATATATATATTAGTGTTATCTAAAAGTAGTTTTAAATTTATAATAGAAAGTATAAGCTAAGATAAACAGACTATTAAAGTTATAATACATTTGTATAAAAACTATAATAAGTTTTTGTTTCAGTTCTTTAAAAGCTTTCTGTTATGATGAATTCTATATATAAGAAGTTTTATTTACATAGTAGGTAGTTTAAAGACTATGCTTTTTTTTTTTTTTTTTTTATTATTTTATTTATTAAAGCTGATGTTATCAGTAGCTACTACCTTTTATTTGTGTTTTTGGTCAATGCATTATATATAACTTGTACAAGGTAAGTGTGCAACTAGCCACATATATAACTTTTGGTTACCTATTTAAGTAGTTCACTCAAGGGTTCTACACTAGCTGCCATGCCAGTAACCTACTAGGAGGATACCTATTTAAACACTCTGATCCTTATACTATATCCAGATGAGTAACACCTGGTTTCTGTACAACTAAGTGCTATCTAACCCAACATTTAGCTTCCCTATTTGTATATCTGTCAAGCTATTAAACATTTTAGAATATGTTACCTGACTGTAAGGTTCTGGAGTACTTTTTTGTTAACTACCTACCTACTCTACAGAACATTAACAAGACTAGCCCTTGTAGAGTTCATCCAAATCTCAGCACCTATTTCACAACATATCCTTAGTACTTATAGTATACCTCTGCTTTGATCCTAGACTCTCAATCCAGATAGTCTAGTAGGACTGTAACCTGTCCTTGATATATCGAGCTGGCCCAATATTTTTTTTCTCCGGTTCAGTTCTGGTGGCCTAGTTGGTGGTATCTCTCACCTGAGGTTCTTGCCCATCTAGCTCCTCTACATTGGTATCTGTTTTCTAGATCTAGCTTTTACAGTGATACTATTGAAGATCTGTGTTATCTCTCTATTCGGGACTTTTCAAGTGGGCTTCAGTTTCCCAGTTCTACAGATTTATATAGCCACAAGGACTTATTTTAGGTTTGCACCACCTGGTATCGGTTTGCATTCCTCTGTGTAACCAAGGTTACACAGATGCCTTGTGACCTGCCAGTTATGCTAGTGTAACTATAGTTGCAGGTATCCTATCACAACTGATCGACAGAATGCTGTTGCTGTAATACCATCTATGTATTACATAGGTAATTATTCAAATTTTTGCCATCAGTAGATTTTGAACTCACAACCTACCACTTGGGGGATTGACAACTTATCTACTTCACTAAGTCTCCACACTCTTAAAAACTATGCTATTTTAGAAATATATATATATATTTTTTTTTATTATTATTATTAAGACTGATGTTAATAGTGGCTAATGTTTTTATTTGTACTTTTAGTGAATACATTATATATTACTTGTATAAAATAAGCATACAACTAATCATATATGTAACTTTTGGTTATCTATTTAAGTAATCTGCTCAAAAGTTCGATACTAGCTGTTATGTTTATAATCTACTAAAAAACTATTTAATTAAATACTCTGGTTTCTATACTGCACCCAAACAATTAGCTATACTGGTTTTTATTTACCTAAGTGCCATCTAACTCAACATTTTGCCTTCCTTTTGTATATATATCAAGCTATTACCCAATTTCAGAGCATGTTATCTAACTATAAGGCTTCATAAGCCTTTTGTTAACTAGCTACTCATTTTATAGAATATTAACAAGGCTTGCCCTTACAGAGTTTACCCAAACCCTAGCATTTACTTCACAGCATATCCCTAATACTTTTAGTATACCTTTGTTTTTTTTATAAACTCTTAATCCAAATAGCTCAATAAGACTATGACCAGTCTATTGATATATTAGATTGGCTTAATATTCTTTTTCTCTGGTCCTCTTAGTTGAACTTCTGGTGGTCTAGTTGGTAATACCTTTCACCCAGAGGTTTTTGCTCATCTAAGTACCCTATATTGATATCTGTTTTCTAGATTTAGCCTTTATAGTAGTACCATTGAAGATCTGTGTTATCTTTCTATTCAGGTTTTTCTAAATAGACTTCTTGTTTTCCAATTTCTACAGATTTACACAGCCACAAGGACTTATTTTGGGTTTGTATTATCTAATGCTAGTTTGTATTCCTCTGTATAATCAATTACACAAATGCCTCATGACCTGTTAGTTATACTAATGTGACTATAATTACAAATATCTTAATTCAATTATTAGAAATAGTTGTTGTAATACAAATATTATATAAGTGATTATTCAAATTTTTGCTATTCATGGATTTTGAACTTGCAATCTACTACTTGGAGAGTTGACAACTTATCCACTTTACTAAGTTGCAATATCCCTCTTTTTTTAGAGATATTATAAATAAACTGTTAATAGTATCTTACTAATTCTAAGAATGAATGTAGTTGAATTATATTGCTAAGTAGTTAAATTTTCTAAACTGCTTCTATTTTTTAAGAGTTAAATGCTATTTTGATAAAGATAACTATGTATTCTAGAAATAGTAAATTTTGCATTTAAAAATTATACTTTTTAAAATTTAATCATAAAGTCTTGACCAGAGAACTCTTTTTGCAAATCATTTATACAAATTTTAACTAAAAATTTATCTGTATAAAAACATTTATAACTATTTATTTTACTAAATTAACTTGTCTTTAGCTCTTAAGTAAACTTATTCAGTACTAAATTTTATATTTATTTTAAAAGTTTTAAGTCTTTAGAATTTAAACTCATTGAGAAAAATGTACTGACAGGCTTTGGTCTTTAGAATTTATAATTTTAATTATTACATAAAAGTTATTGTCAAAATCTACTTTACACTCTTAAGCAAAAATATAGAATATACTTGCTAGTTAAAACAAGCTTTAAACAATAATTTTTGATCTAATATTGACTAAATTATAACTAAATTTGATTTTTACTTTCTTGTAAAAATTCTTTTTTTATTTTTTACCCTTACTCTAGTCTGCTTATCCTTACATATTTTTTATATAATATTAGATCACTTCTTAATTTATATTTAATTAAATTTACATTAAATTTACTAATATATTTTTAAATAGAATTTTATTAATACACAATCTATTTTTTACTAAATTTGGTTCTAATTAATTTTATACAAAAATTGTATTTTGTACCAATACTATACTACATTGATGACTATTATTTAGTTATATTCACTACTCTAGTTATTATAAATTATAATTTTTGTAATACCTTATTACATAAAATTACACAAATCTATATTAAGCTACACCTTATACTGTTATTTTATATCTATTTCTTTTAAGATAATAGGTAACTAGAGTGACTTTAGACAGTAAACACTTTTTGTAACCTTACTTGTTACTATATTATAACTAAGTTGAAAGGTGTTTTATTTTAAAAAACTTAATAAAGAAGATTTAAGGCAATTTGCAATTACAAAAGAGGTTATAATTAAAAGTATATGAGAATACTAATAACTGTTTAGTTTAGATAATATAAAGTAGTAGTTTATTAGTGAAAGAGTATAAAAACTCAATGTTAAATTTGAGATCCACATTGACTGCTTTTATACTTTTTGGCTATATAGTATATGTAATGACCTATATCTTTTATATATACAAGATATTTTATAACTATTATTAATAAAATAAATAAGATATGTTTAATATATAAAATAGATAAAATAAATAAATTAAATAATTTATATGAACTAAATATAATATAAAATATATATGCTCCAAAATGCATAAATATTATATATGTTATATGTATGATATTTCACGCAGTAATCATTCAACCAATCAGATTATAGCTTTCTTATTAATTTGGTTATTGGATTCGATCTTGTGATCCTGTTATCAGAAATAGATGATCTATATCTCATTAGAACCGTCTTAGTGAGCTGATTCAAATGGTAGTAGTTTCATCAAATTCTGTTTAGTGGTTTAAGAGTTATGATCATTTTTGTAGGTTAACAATACTAAAACAGTAGTAGAATAGTAGGCTTTTTAGGTACACAGTTGTGTTTTTTGATAATACTATTTATTTTTGTTTTTTTTTTTAAGTTTTTATTATTCTTGATAACTTATATAACTTATATATAACATATAAAAACTTACATGAATGGTGTATTTTTATATATACTTCATGCTTGGTATATTTTTTTGATATCTATTTTGATTACTATTTAGCTTTCTATTACTAAGGAGTACACTTCCCTAAGGGTGTACAATGCAGTTGCAGAGTAAAGCAGAGCATAGTTATCATATTTGATTTCTACTTAGTTTTTTGTACTGGAGGAGCATAGCAACTCCAAATACGAAGCGTAGCGTAGCATTAGTTATCTGTTTAATTCACAATTAGTTTCTTAATACTAAGAAGTATACACCTTAGATGTAAGTGATGCAGTTGCGGAGTAAAGCAGAGCATAGTAATCTTTTAGTTATCAATTAGGTTTCTATAATAAAAAAGATAGTTAAATTTTATTGTCTTGCAAACCCGAAAGATGTCTTGAAGAGTCATAGGTAGTCTTCAAGCATCTGAAGTTGTTGAGCATAAAATTGCATGACATAATATCCTTTAGAATGTTTTTTGTAATGTTCACAAGCAGAAGCTATAGGTTTTCCACAATCATCATATAAAACATGTTTTTAGATCTCCAATGTTCATGGCACTCTTTAAAACGTCGACATCCACATCCGCAAACTTTTCGAATTGTGTATATATTCGCATGTATATTTACCTTCTAACTTTTTGATATATTTACCTCTCTCAATATATTCACTAAACATTTCAATAAAAGAATAATTATTTTTTATTTAAACAAAAAATCAGGTATATTAAAAAAAAACACTAAAAAAACATATTACTATGGCTAAGATACTTAAATGTCCAGGTTGTAATTGAGTAATAAGAACTGATAAAACTCGAGATTTTAATAAACATATGAATTTAAATAGAAACCTTTGTAAAGGACAATGCCAACCAGCTTTGCTTATAATGCAAAATGTAGAAAACATTACTCCAGAGCAAAATACACCTCAAACTGAAAACGTTACTCCAAAGCAAAATCTGCCATCAACTCCTAAAGGTGATCTCATATTATTCAATGAAAACCCCACCAACACTTTAGCTGAGAGAGGCAAGTGCGTCAGTAGTCGACCCTTTAACTGATAATGTTTCAAATACAGAAGCAGAATCAAGTTCTAATACTCAAGAAGAACAAAAAAAGAAATCAATTTTAATGATAGATGAATTAATAAAATAGTTATCAAAGTCAGAAATAAAAAATAATAAAAAAATTAGATCAAAGCATATATCTAAAAATGATAAAGAATAGTATGATTTAATGGAAATAGATAACAAAAAAAATAGCGAACCAAGTGATTCAAAATATGATACTGCTAAAGAAGAACCAGATATTCATTTTGAAAAAATCAAGGATCCATATATTAATAGAATAGCAGAAGCCAGAAAATTTAATGAAGGTAAGGTATGTGATTATTATGCATTTGTACCAAAAGGATGCTATGCTGAGGGTGAGCCATTAGCTTTCTTCGAATTAATTAAAGAAAAAATTGCAGATATTTATAAAAAAGAGTTAGCTTTAAAAGGTGAATTAAAAGTAAGAATCGTGTTATATACATATATGAAGAAAATTAAACCAGAAACTCCAGAACTTTTATATAAAACTTTTCTATTCAAGCATGAAACAATAGAAATTATTAGAAAAGATCGAATTAATGCAACAATAGAAAAAGAATATAATGAAATTATAGATCAAATAGAAGATGAGATATTACAAAAATCTGGATAGTCATTCATCCAAGCAGAAAAGGTATTTCTTAAAATAAGTGCATTCAGACCATTGCAAGATAATAGTTATTTACCTTTACCAGAAGCTTTAGATAAGCAACAACTAGGAATAATTAATCCACAAAATAGGAACAATAATGAGTGTTTTAAATGATATATAAGTGCATATCACACAAGAGAGGAAGCAAAAAAAGCAAATAGAAAGCCACCATATCTTAATGAAATCCAGAGACTTAGACGAAATGCAAATATAGCAAATTTTGAAGGTATAAAATTTCCAGCAACACTCCATAATATTGTTATAGGTGAAAGCCTTCTTAATTTTCACACTATAATAACAACACGGCACAGGAAATCCCTTACGGGTATATGCGGTGTCCAAGAGGGAAGTATAGCTTCTGTTAGACGTTGTCAAGAAACTATACCCTTC